GCCAGAGCATACAGCCAATCTCTGAAAAGGGAGACGTCTTTCTGCTCTTGGGTTACAGTCCACTCCTGACACCTTAGTGCAGTGGGCTCCAAAGTAGGGGACGTGCACCCCAGGGAGTGGGCAAGGTGATCCATTTGGGCTTGGGCAGAAAATACTGGAACTTCAGTATTAGAATTGTATAATTTATAAATACATATATAGGCACTGAGGGGGCATGCTCCAAATATTTTTACTAATAGGTGTGCCTAAACCAGTTTGGAGACCACTGGCTTAGTGGACTACTGTTCTACAGGGCTCTTACTGTTCTAGAGGCTTTGGTACTTAATTTGTTTGACTCTGCTGTAGCCATTTCCATTTCTGTTTTTTTTTTCCTGCATTATTACTGTCACTGAAACCAACTCAAAAAGTCCTCCTGATGCAGTACACCACTGAGGAGGTGTAAATAGAAAAGGAGCAATAGTAGTGAGGTGTAAGTGCACCCTATTCATCTTCAAAATTCTTGTGTAAAATGGAGTGTGAATATGAGGCAAGGTACATTTTGCTTATGAGGATATATGGAAAGGAGGAGAATATTTGCAGGGTGCCCAGCACAAAGTTATCCACTCTGCTGCTTTCTGCCAGAGCAGGTAGTCTTGCTCACTGTAAATCATTTCTGTCCCAGCATAGAGAAGCTTTATAATTCACCCTTCTAGACCTTTATGGGGAGCTTGGTAAGAAATGAAGAAATTGTCTTTCCCACTATCCTTGAATGGTTCTTCTCACCCCTGTCTTTCCAAAAAGAGAGACCCCTTGACTCCAGAGGGAAGAAGCCAGGAGTGCAAACCTGGCACAAGCCAGCAGCTTGCATAAGAGGGGTTTCTCATGCTCGGGACCGAAAAGCAATGTCATTCCTTTGGAAGGCAGGCACCTCTGTTCTTGTCAGGAAAACAACCATTTCCAAGACTGTAGAAGCTTAGTTGGTAGTGACCTTACTGTATATTTTAAATATCATCCTACTAATGGTGATTTTGTAATGATGGATATTCTGTCATACCCAGCCTGCTAACAACATCCATCGCTAGAAGCTGGATAACGTGCGTTTTTTTCATTTTGTGCCAATTGTTTGTCAAGCATCTATTGTCTTCTCTATTCTTGATACACAAATCAGATCATGCTGCTTCATCTTTCCCTGATATGTGTGATTTAATAGCAGCAACTCCATCTCGTTCTCAGCTCTAATTTGTTGACCTAGAAGCTGTTGCCTCTAATTGGGAAATGTTGTAGTAAGGAAATACTCAGCACAGAATGAGCATTCAAGAAGATGAAAGCTGTTTCTCCTGAGTGCTTGTCCTCATTTAAAAAGAACCCCAAATAAAATCAGGGATTGGGAAGGAGAGTAAAACAGACATAGCCCTCTGCCTTTTCATTCTGGGGAAGGAGGATTGCAGAAATGCTGAGAAGATGCCGAAAGGAGCAGATTGTACAGCTGCCTATAAGAATCTGTGAGAAGGTAAAGCGCAGGAAAGCGCCTTTGCTACTCTGATCTGAAAATGGGTGGGAGCAAGAAAGGAGCAGCTGCCTAGAGAACAGATTTAGTCCCAAACCATCATTTTAAAAATTGTCTGAATTCCATTTCAGTCCCCTTGTGAAAGATACTAAATCCTGTGGAGAGTGTGAATTGAAGTGCAACCAAGATGATAGTTTGTTTATGAGGAGCAGCTAGAAAGGGTGATCCTTCTTGCACTGAGATAAAGAAAATGCAGAGATGCCCTGAAAGAAATTATTTTAGAAGAGGGTTGGGAATAATAAAATCAAATAATCTCTCTTTGAGTGAAAGGGCGGCTAAAATGCTTGTTAGAGTAAATACAAATCTATTCACAGCTGCTTCCCTTTTGAAGAAGGAATAAAGAAATATACAAAGCTCTATTTATATTTTACAGCATTTCCCAAAGGTGCAAGATTACTGAATAAATAGTGTTATTTACTAGAGCTAGTCTTCTGAGATGCCCACAAAGCATTCCTTTTATATCTCCTGATCTGTGGTTTTAAGAGGATAAATCTTTAATACCATAGCGTGCTAACTGTTAGCTGGCACAGAAAGAGTAATCGTTCCCATCAGTTAGAACTTGTTTGAATGAAACAGAATATGGTATTGGTAGCACAAAACTAAAGCATCATGACTCAATATGGAAGGCAAAAAGTAATAATTGCCTTTTGTCTTGGTGTGAGACTGTGCGCCTGCAAATGGAAGGGTAATGGTAGGAGCTTCCATCCTCCTGCACAGCTTGGTGGGAAAGCAGGGAGGTGGGTATCAGCACACCGTCCCCTGCAACTGGGCCAGCGCCAACGTGAAATCCCTCAAAATGGCACTTGGATATCTTTTTTTTTGTAGCCAGGGAAACCAGAGAATCAGCTTACACATCTCTGCCAGAGCCTTGGCTGCGCGGGCGTTGTCAGCAAACTCTCAGGAACGCCCCTAGAGTAGGAGAGAGCGGCTGGCAGGTTGGCACCCTGTACTGTAAGCCACCTCTTATGGGCTTCCCCAGTGTGCGAAGTGGTCCAAGATCATCCTCAGAGAAGTGAAAATGTGGCCGTTGCAGCGTCACACACTCCTGTTAGCCTGCAGCTGGAAGCAAGAGTGAGTAGTTCTCAGCTCAGATCAGGGGAATTAGGCCCTGGGTCAGCAACATTTCATGGTTCTACAGAGCACGGGATTGTAGTTTGCTGATTTTACACAGGTAGTGGTAGTGATTTTACTAGGAATTTGTTTGCACAGTATCAACAGGAGGGGAAAATCTTCTGTTCAGATTTTCCTGGAAGATAGTCTCAGCTGATCTGTAGTATTTCTGATCCCATATAGATGTAAAGAAAAGCTTCTCTACAATGTGAAGTTGTGTATTAGAGTATGCATTTGGTTACACTAAGTAAAAATTTGCATACACTTCTTTGCAAGTAATTTATGTTTTAAATGAGCATTTGATCATCTTTCTTTTTGTCGTAAATAATTAACCATAAAGTATTTGACATAAAAAATAACTGTAAAATGGCAACTAAGGTCTCTGATAAAATTTTCCCCTTCATTCACATAGTTTCATATACTGGAAATTATTTATGATGATATATCTGATCAATATTTCAGCCTCCACTCTAACATCCTTAAAATTACAGTGATACTCCCTTCAGGGAAAGAATAATACATATTTTCCCCAAACTAGCAATCTTTTCAAGTTCTCTTGCTTTTTCTTGCAGTGCAGTGCTGTAGCTGTTGGCAGGTGAGGAGTTGCCAGGAGGTAAACTGACAGTGTAAATGTCAGAGGTCAACCCATGTGTAGGAAAGAAAGAGGCTGTCAAGAAAACAAGTTAACCTTTTTTATGGAAACCCTCTGATTGTATCTTTGTGGAGGACAGCGTAGTCCTATGGCTGCACTCCTCCTGCTTTGAAAACTGAAGTAAAAGAGGAAATTTGGAAAGGTTATACACATGGCAAAAGGCTTATTATTGGTTGCCTAGAAAGGAGGGTTGGGGTTTTTTTCAATCTCATTCCTGTCTGAAAAGAAAGATTGTATCCTAATGATTTATCAGTGCGTATCTTCTAATTTTACAAACTGACTGAAGCCCTCAGCTTTCTTTGTAAGCCCAGAGGTGTCACCAAATGGCACTGTTAAGTAAACCCATTTTCTGTGTCCATTCACTGCAAGTACTCCGTAATGTTACAGTTAGGTGTTCAAAAATAGAAGTTTGATAGCTTTGAACATTTTGTATCTAAAGAAACCTGAGTTTTAAATGTTTTGAAACAAAAGAATACAGCTGTACGTCACAATTTTTCATTCTTTTTCCTTTTTTAAATTGAAGGCTGGAATTCCTTTACAAAAGATAAACTTCAGTTCCTGAACTAATTTCAGTGTTATGGCGATGATAAGCCTTTTTCTTTTTAAAGTGACTTACATCAAGATTTACTTTAAGTGGAAATTGCCCATTGATAGCATTGGCAGATTTATTTATAAAGAGTCATGTTTCTAATTTTCAAATGGAAATTAGCCAGGAGAACTTATCTTGGGAGAATTCTATTATAAAAAAACTTGGAAAAAAGCTATCACTTAGGCACGGGTTTGCAGATTTCAGTGTAAGAAGACTGTTTCATCAGTGACAAATAACTTTGAAAATGGATCATTTTGCAAAACAGAGGTTTCAGTCTCCAGCCCTTCGTCAATCCCTGAGAGACCATCCTTGCCGTCTGTGCATTCCTGTTCCGCTCATCAGCACAAGCCTTGCTTCCGTTGGGAATGTGAGAGTGCAGTTGCCACAAGGGATTGTAGGGGGGAGGATTTATCTGAGCAGCAATTTCACAGTAAGGTGCTAGAAGAACAAAATACAAATACCATTGTAACTGGTGGATGTTGGGATGTTTGGGTTTGGGGTTTTTTTATTTAGGAGTATTTTATGTACAATTATTTGAAAGTACTCAATCAGCTTTCAGATTTTTGTGGGATTCCACTGTCTGCCCGGTACTGGAAGAATAGCTTTGTAGAAGAGGTGAGTTACTTATCCTATGAAACTCACAGCTGGGGGCAACACGATTTAAATCACAGCAAGAGAGGTCAGATGTCCTCTTGGTGTCTGACTGCTTTACTGGGCCACGAAAACAGAATTCACGTTTTTAATATTGCATTTGTATTCCACTTAAAGTAAAACTGTGGCTATTGGTTTTTCTGTATTCTCCATTAAGTAAATTTACCTAAAGACTGTAAATATTGTACAAGCCCACGGTAGGATTGCATCTCCTAGCTCACACAGAGCTCATAGTGCCTGCTCCACAATTTACTTCATTGATTGCATCGAGTTGACTTGTGAAGAAGGATGCGATTCAATGAAGAGTAGGGAGAATAAGAGCTACGCAAATGTGATCAGTCTTGCAGCTCAAAGAAAGAGCAAAATGCAAATGAAATGTGGATTATCTGGGGTTACACTGCCATCTAGTGGTACAGAGTCAATGTCTGCTTGCTTTGTTTTGTTTCCCAAAGATTAGCATCTTCATGACACATTTGTCTAATTATGGAAACGACCGCCTGGGGTTGTACACCTTTGTGAATCTGGCCAACTTTGTTCATACCTGGACAAACCTGAAACTGCAAACTCTTCCTCCCGTTCAGCTGGCTCACAAGTATTTTGAACTGTTCCCCGAGCAAAAGGACCCTCTCTGGCAGGTAGGCAGGCTTTTTTCTGATGAAGAGATCAGAAAAAAGTCATCTCGATGATGTTTCTTGTGAAGTTCTTTGTTGAAGTTTCTTG